TCAAAGCCGTCCTGGGTCAAGGGTTGGACAAGCTGGCTGTAATTACAACTGGATTGCAAGGAGTTGCTCCTTGGCCCCGTTAATCCAGGGAGCCAGAACTCAAATCACTTCCTTCTGCTGAACCATCAAGCCCAAGTTAACAATTGAACACTGCATTCTGAACTGAAAGGTGTAAAGGTGAAAGCAAGTTTAAACAATCCCAATGATTTTTCTCTTTGTTAAATGGCAGAATCCAGCCAGTTGAGTATTTATCCTTTTGCAAAACCAGTTAACTGAATTCCAGGTATTTGTTCCAATTCAGAGTTATTTTCATTGCACTTCATACTGAGTGGTTCTGTCAGTGTTTCTTTTGACACAGAAGTAGGGCCGGTGAACTGACTATCTGCCATCGACACAACTTGTTCTGCCAATGTCAAATCAACCTTGAATCTGTCAATCCAAATTAATCAACAGTATTACTTTGGTGACAGGCAATTATATGTTTAATTAGTAAGTCATGCTTCTGGCACGAATACAGAGCTAGGGTTCTCAACTCTGGGCCGCAAAGCAAAATCAGGTAGCAGCTTTTAAAAAATACAGGCGCCTAACTTGTCCTAAGATGCTGATTCAGAAGATCTGGGGTAGGGCCCAAGTAACTATTTGGAAAAAGCTGTTCAAGTGACTCTGATGCAACAGGGGCAGAGACTGTCACAGAAGGTACTGATATAAATAATACATGATGGAAGGGGGTGGGGTCTGTACTTCTCCAACAAGGACAGGAGGCATTGTGTCAAGGACTATTCAAAGTGCAAAGATGATTTCACATCTTTCTTTTTTTTTCTTTTTGAGACAGGATCTTGCTCTGTCACTCAGGCTGGAGTGCAGTGGTGCAATCTTGGTTTACTGCAACCTCTACCTCCCTGGCTCAAGTGATCTTCCCACCTCAGCCTCCCGAATAGCTGGGATTACAGGCATGTGCCACCACACCCGGATAATTTTTGTATTTTAGTAGAGATGGGGTTTCACCATGTTGGCCAGGCTGGTCTCGAACTCCTGATCTCAAATGATCTGCCCACCTTGGCCTCCCAAAGTGCTGAGATTACAGGCATGAGCTATTGTGCCCAGCCCATTTCACATCTTTCCAGAATGTCAATTTTACTTGACAGGTAAGCAGTTTAAAACGTCATTTTTATTTTGGGTAGTGATTTCATAGGTATATATAGATATATATATATAAAACTGTCAAAACTCATCTGACTAACATTTAAGATCTGGGCATTGAATTTTATCCTTATTATAACTTAATAAATGTCATTTTAAAGTTAAAATATGGATACATTCTAGAGTAGAATGCAAAATCTGCATTTTCTTTTTAGATACACTCTGAGACTTGAAAGAAGTCACCCTCTTAGATGGGTCCCTGATATAGTTTGGTTGTGTCCCCACTCAAATCTCATCTTGAATTATAGCTCCCATAATCCCCACATATCATGAGTGGTACCTGGTGGGAGGTAACTGAATCATGGGGGACAGTTTTTCCCATGCTGTTCTTGTGATAGCAAGTAAGTCTCAAGCTGTGATGGTTTTATAAATGGGAGTTTCCCTGCACACACTCTTGCCTGTTGCCATGTAAGACGTGCCTTTGCTCCTCCTTCATCTTCCACCATGATTGTGACGTCTCTCTAGCCATGTGGAACTGTGAATCTATTAAACCTCTTTTTCTTTATAAATTACCCAGTTTTGGGTATTTCTTCATAGCAGTATGAAAATGGACTAACACAGAAAATTGGTAATGCAGAGAGTGGGGCACTGCTGTAAAGATAGCCGAAACTGTGGAAACAACTTTGGAACTGGGTAACTGGCAGAGGTTGGAACAGTTTGGAGGGCTCAGAAAACAGGAAAATGGGGGAAAGTCTGGAACTTCCTAGAGACTTGGAGGGCTCAGAAGACAGGAAAATGTGGGAAAGTTTGGAACCTCCTAGAGACTTATTGAATGGCTTTGACCAAAATGCTGATAGTGATATGGACAATAAAATTCAGGCTGAGGTGGTTTCTGATGGAGATGAGGAACTTATTCAGAATTGGAGTAAAGGTTACTCTTGCTATGCAAAGAGACTAGTGGCATTTTGCCCCTGCCCTAGAGATCTGTGGAACTTTGAACTTGAGAGAGATGATTTAGGGTATCTGGCAGAAGAAATTTCTAAATGGCAAAGTGTTCCAGAGGAAGCAGAGCAAACAAATTTGAAAAATTTGCAGACTAATGATGCAGTAGAAAATAAAAACCCATTTTCTAGGGAGAAATTCAAGCTGGCAGCAGAAATTTGCATAAGTAATAAGGAGCCAACTATTAATCACCAAGACAATGGGGAAAATGTCTCCAAGGCATGTCAGAGACCTTCACAGCAGGCCCTCCCATCACAGGCCCAGAAGCCTAGGAGGAAAAATGGTTTCATGGGTCAGGTCCAGGGTCCCCCTGCTGTGTGCAGCCTAGGAACTTGGTGTCCTGCATCCCAGCCATGCCAGCCATGGCTAAAAGGGGTCAATGTACAGCTCAGGCCTGGCTTCAGAGGGTGCAAACCTGAAGCCTTGGCAGCTTCCACATGGTGTTGAGCCTGCAGGTGCACAGAAGTCAAAAATTGAGGTTTGGGAACCTCTGCCTAGATTTCAGAGGATGTATGGAAATGCCTGGATGTCCAGGTAGAAGCTTGCTGCAGGGGTAGAGCCCTCATAGAGAATCTCTGCTAGGGCAGTGTGGGAGGGAAATGTGGGGTGGGAGCCCCCATACAGAGTCCCTACTGCTGCACTGCCTAGTGGAACTGTGAGAAGAGGGCCACCATCCTCCAGACCCCAGAATGGTAGATCCACTAACTGCTTGCATCATGTGCCTAGAGCTGCAGGCACTCTATATCAGTCTGTGAAAGCAGCTGCGAGCGGGGGTTGTAGCCTGTAAAGCCACAGGGGCAGAGCTGCCCAAGGCTGTGGGAGCCCAGCTCTTGCATCAGCATGATCTGGATGTGAGACACGAGGTCAAAGGAGATCATTATAGAGCTTTAATATTTGACTGCCCTGCTAGATTTTGGACTTGCATGGGGCCTTTAGCCCCTTTGTTTTGGCCAATTTCTCCCATTTGGAACAGGTATATTTATCCCACACCTGTACCCCATTGTATCTAGGAAGCAACTAGCTTGCTTTTGATTTTATAGGCTCATAGGCGGAAGGGACTTGCCTTGTCTCAGATGAGACTCTGGACTGTGGACTTTTGAGTTAAATGCTGAAATGAGTTAAGACTTTGGGGGACTGTTGGGAAGGCATGATTGGTTTTGAAATGTGAGGATATGATATTTGGGAGGGACCAGGGGCAGAATGGTTTGGCTGTGTCCTCACCCAAATCTCACCCAAATTCATCTTGAATTATAGCTCCCATAATCCCCACATGTGGTGAGAGGGACCCAGTGGGAAGTAACTGAATCACGGGGAGGGGGTTTTTCCCATGCTGTTCTTACCACAGTCAGTCTCATGAGATCTGATGGTTTTATAAAGGGCAGTTCCCCTGCACACACTCTCTTGCCTGCCACCATGTAAGACATGCCTTTGCTCCTCCTTCACCTTCTGCCATGATTTTGAGGCCTCTGCAGCCATTTGGAACTGTGAGACCATTAAATCTCTTTTTCTTTATAAATTACCCAGTTTGGGGTATTTCTTTATAGTAGTATGAAAATGAACGAACACAGTCCCCATATGCAGGGAGGCAACCACTTCACTCTCCTCTGCTTGGGGTGGGGTTGAGGGGTTGAGAAAAAGAGGGGAAGAGCTTTTGAAAATACCCAGGACTAGAGTTTGAAAATGTCCGGGTTTAGAAATCCTTTCACTTCCAGTGCTTCTCATTCATTTCACTACCCATGACTGACTCCCCTCTCATCTCTTCACTGCCCACTCATCACTGGTCTTTTTGCTTAAAATGACTCCAAATCCTCAAAAAATTAAAGTTCCACTGTTTATTGTAATTGGAAATTTTGTGTTTATTGTCATTGAGCAGAGGGTCTAACGACACCAAGGCAGTAGTTTCAGATATTGCACATTGCAAACGATTTTCACACAAAAATGTTTTAAAAGGCTATCGGGTGCAGGGCTGGTTGTAGGTAGGGACCCAACCTAGAATTATGAAACGCCATAGTTCCTAACTTTGGAAAGAGAAGAGCGGAGAGTAATATGGATTAGTAGCAACGGCTGGAGAAAACAGTGCTCTATACTACCTTCAAGGTGCTCTACTTCATCGCTTGGGACCCAATGGCTCAATAGTGGGTAGGAAACAGGATTCAGGGTCTCAAGCACGGTCTGGATCTACCGACTCTCACTGTCATTTTAACTCTCGCTGGGGTACACATCTGCTTCTGGATTTTAGTAACGTGTGTTACAATCATTTAAAGACTATAAAACCACAAGATTATGAGAGCGTAAACCAGAAAGCGTGTAAGTAAATGCGTAGAAAACGCAACGCGGTAGCACAGCAGCAAGGCACAAAGCCAACAACTCCAACCAGAGAGGCGCGCCGCGCTTCCCGACTCCCGGCAGCCTTTGCGCAGCCCTCCTGCAGCCCCCTGGTCGGCCGGGGGCGGGGTCTGGGCCGCACGCCGGTACCACGCCGGGCCGCACGCCGGTACCACGCCTACCCGCGCCGCGCCGCGCCGCACCGCGCCCCCTCCGCACCTGCTCTTAGCGCGCCTTCCGCCCCGAATATGCGCATGCGCTACTCTCCCTTTACAGCCCCGAAAACGCTCCGGCTGGCCGACTCCAAGACAATGGCGAGAGGCCTCACAGTGCGGCTTCTTACCTGCTTTGCATAGGCGGCAGTCTCCTGCTAGTCCCGCCTCCCTCTGGCACTCTGGCGCGCAAATGGAGGAGCCGGGAAGAGAGCGCAGTTCTGATTGGAGAACGCGCGTGTTTACATTCTCACCTCTCCCGGGGAGTGGACGAATTTAGACCGCCTCTTCCTTCCCGTTCTTTAAGAGAATTGGTTGCCCTCCTGTCCGTCAGAGGTGCAGTCCCAACGGGGGCGTACCGCCGTTTTCGCGTTTGCCTCGCTGGGTGACTCCGCTTGTTTGTCGGCTGCGTGAGTGCCTAGAGCTTTTTGGTGGAAGATGCCGGACAGTAACTTCGCAGAACGCAGCGAGGAGCAGGTGTCTGGTGCTAAAGTCATCGCCCAGGCCCTGAAAACGCAAGTACGATGGACCTTCCTGGAATGAAACGCTCCTACGGAAGCTGGCGGAGACCGCAATGTTGTCTCGGAGACGAGTAGAAATGGGCGATGGGAGTCGGGGGTTTTCTTTTTAGCGTCCGGGAGGGAGGGAAGGATGTGGCGATGTGGTGGGGCCGTGGGAGATTACTCTCTTGTTCTTCGTCCCTCAGGATGTGGAGTACATATTTGGAATCGTAGGCATCCCAGTGACCGAAATTGCCATTGCTGCCCAGCAGCTAGGCATCAAGTACATCGGGATGAGGAATGAGCAAGCGGTGAGTATGGACGCAGGTGTCTGAATCCGTTACTGGGAATGATCAATAATAGCGGTAGGTATGCATTGCAAACACTCAGATAGCGCTTACCACTCTTCTGCTGTTTTACACATATATCAATCACTGTTGAATATTAACTGTTGTTATACCTAGTTGACAGTTGAGAAAAGACACAGGTTAAGTAAAACTTGCCTTTGGTGACACATCTGGTAGTAGCAGAGCCAGGATTTGAACCTACGTATTCTGGGTCTGAGTCCATGCTCTTACTACTATACTGTATGTCATGATTGGAAGGGACAGTTTATGAGTAAAGTCTGATTTCCATATTAGGCTACAAGCTCCATTAGAGCGGGGATATTATTTCTTCACGACACATCTGGTACCCCCAGTGCTTAGTGCGATGCCTGCATAAGCAAGGTGTTCGGAGGTTACCTGTGGGATAAATGAGTGAAGGCCAAGTCTTTGTTGTATGATCGGTTCGGGGCAGGGTGGAGGATATCACAAATGGTAAAGCCTTAATGGAAACTCATATGTCTCGGATCCTAGCCTGACGCTCTTTCCACCACATCATGCTGCCACCTTTCTTAGAGGCTTATTTGGAAGCAGGATAAGGAAGATACGACATTTTGTCAATTCACTTTTAAGTGCATCAATCCAGCCTTGCCCTTCTCTCAGTAGTGCTGGCTTAAAAGATCAAGAATCCACTTCTGTGATATCACATACTGTCAGTCCAGCTGAGGCTAAGTATGCCTGCTCTACACTCCCACTGTTGCTTTCTAATTTAGATTCTTGCCTCCTCTTGCCCAAACAACTGCCTGGCCGCCCTAAATGGTGCCTTTTGCCATCATACGTGAGTGCATGGAGGGCAGAAGTTGTGGTTCATTTGTTATATCACCACAGTGCCTGGCTTGGTTGGTGCTTTCACATGGTGTGGGTGCTTAATATTATGCATTATTTATTAATTGAATGACATTCTTTATCTACAAGGTTTGAGATTTATATTTTTTATCTTAAAACTAGCAAGTCTTGAGTTTCTGTTGCTTCTACATTTTACTTGTCTTTGTTAGAACAACATTCTGTTCTTTCATCTGTGTGAAAAAATGAAGCTATTGACCTATGAATGGAACCTATATTTAACTCTTTTTGTAGAGATGACATATCTGCTACTGATTTCTTTATACAGCAAACATTTATTGATTAAATGTTTTTTTTTTTTTTTTTTTTGAGACGGAGTCTCGCTCTGTCACCCAGGCTGGAGTGCAGTGGCCGGATCTCAGCTCACTGCAAGCTCCGCCTCCCGGGTTTACGCCATTCTCCTGCCTCAGCCTCTCGAGTAGCTGGGACTACAGGTGCCCACTACCTCGCCCGGCTAGTTTTTGTATTTTTTAGTAGAGATGGGGTTTCACCGTATTAGCCAGGATGGTCTCGATCTCCTGACCTCGTGATCCGCCCATCTCAGCCTCCCAAAGTGCTGGGATTACAGGCTTGAGCCACCGCGCCCGGCCTGATTAAATGTTGTATACTAAGGATTGTGCTACATAACCTGTAGGGGAGAGGGATGTAAAGGAGGAGTGAGGTTTAGTCTTGATCTTCAAGTTGATCAGTCTTGGAAGGTTAGGGTAAGACTGACAGAAAAAAACTCATCTATTATAACTCTCACAATAGATGTAGTAGCACAGAAGGGATGACTGGTTCTCTTTGAGGACAGAGAAGATTGCCTGTAGAGGTAATGTTAGTTCATGTGGTTCCATCGAGGTAGGTAAAGGCATGGTGAGCTGTGAGACGGGTAGGTAGGTTGAGGTTAGGTTGTGGAGAATCTAAAAAGAATTTGAACTTTTTTTTTTTTTTTAACAATAGGCAATAGCGGAGACTAAAGGTTTTTCTAAACAGGTGGGAGATGTAATTAGGCTTGTATTTCAGAAAGATGATGCCAGGCATTGTTGTACATGCCAGTAATCCCCAGCTACTTAGGAGGCTGAGGCAGGAGGATTACTCAAGTCCAGGAATTAGAGGCTGCCTGGGCAACATAGCATGACCTCTGTCTCTAAGTTTTATTTCAGCCCTTATAAGCTTAATTGAGGGTTCTTTAGGTCCCATGTGCTGTGTTGGGTGCTGGATACAGAGATGAATGATAGTTCCTGGCTTTAAGGGGCTTACAGCCAAGCTGTGGAGACAGACACAAACAATTGTGTTATAAGGTGGTAAATGCTGTGATAGATACCTAGGGTGCTATAAAGCCCAGAGAAGGAGTACCCAGGCTCAGCTTCCCACAGGAGATGATATCTGTGCTGTCCAGAAGGATAAGTAGTCATTAACCAGTTAGGAAGGAGGAGGCAGGCTCCTCTGGACATGATTCCTAGATTTTGGGCTTGCTTGATTGTGTGGATCTTACTCTCTGTGACTGAGACTGGGAATATAGAGGGAAGAGCCAGTTTGGAGGAGAAAGGTGATGTTCAGTTTTGAACACATGCATCTGAGATGTTGGTGGAACATCCCAGTGGATGTGTCCCTCAAGCAGCCTGACTCTGTGGTAGTCAGAGGAAAACTTAAATGGTGCCTGAACTAAGGGTAGTGACAGAATGATTCAGAGGGAACATGAAAACAGGCTAAGGCATTCAGGAGCATGTTTGTGCTAAAGAGAAAGATGTAGTTGGGGGTGACTTGATTGTCTTTGATTAGATCCATAGAGTAATCAAGACATACTGACCAATTGGTCAGCAAGTAGGCAGATTGTCAGCAGGTTCATTGTTCTTGAGAGCTTACTGTGTGTGGGCACTATTCTGAGTGTTTTACACATATGAACTGATTTCATCCTCACAGCAGTGCTTTGAATTATTTTCATTTTATGGATGAGGAAACAGAGATGTAGAGCAACTTGCCAAAATTACACAGTAGAAAGTAGGGAAGCTGGGATTTAAATCAAAACAGATTGGCTCCAGAGTCAGCTCTCTAAGTACCATGTACACTGCTCTGCCTGTGAATGGAGGTAGTTTAGTAGAGGAACAGATCTTTTATGGTCATAAAACCGGTTACGGCCAGGCGCGGTGGCTCATGCCTGTAATCTCAGCACTTTGGGAGGCCGAGGTGGGCGGATCACCTGAGGTCAGGAGTTTGAGACCAGCCTGACCAACATGGAGAAACCCTGTTTCTACTAAAAATACGAAATTAGCTGGCCGTGGTGACGCATGTTTGTAATACCAGCTACTCGGGAAGCTGAGGCAGGAGAATTGCTTGAATCTGGGAGGTGGAGGTCGCTGTGAGCCAATATTGCGCCATTGCACTCCAGCCTGGGCAACAAGAGTGAAACTGCGTCTCAAAAAAAAAAAAACAAAACTGTTACCTCTCAACTTTTGACATTTCCTACCAGAGGAATATACTTTTTGTTACATGTTGTTGTATGTTTTGCATTGCCTAGCAACATTTCTTACCTAGCTATCATAAGTGGGCAATTCTTTTGGGTGTCTAAATAAAGTGTTCTTATTGCAGCAGGTATTTACATGCCTGCATTTCTTAGGAGTTGTCTCATTCTTCTAATGTAAATTTGGCCTTATGTGCAAAAGGGAAGAGAGACAGGACCAGTAGAGAATAGCAACACAGGAAAAGAGCAACGCCTTTTGTGCAGGTTCTCAGTGGGTATATGATAGTAGAGACAGTCGAGATTGTGATCCATAAACATTTCCTTTCTTTTTTTTTTTTTTACATTTATGTTCTTAATGTGGATTTCTTTAAGACAGTATACTACTTCATTTAAGCTGAGTGAAGGCTAGGAAATACACAATTTATTGTTATTTCTAAAGAAATGAGAAGAAATAATACTGGGGAAAAAATGATGTCACAAACTAAGAAGAAGAATTTGAGAGAGCACGCAGCATTTTCCCAGGTTATCTTGTGTGCATTTAATTTAGTGCCCCCTCTCTTCCTGATTATGAGCTGAAGTAGAGTTACAAGGTAAAAACTATCCATATGCAGGCCATAAAGGAAATCTCAATAAATTGCCAAGGATTGAAAGCTTGCAGTATGTGTGACCTGACCATGTGGAAGTAAAGTGGAACTCGGTAACAGATCACTGAGAAGAATCTCAAACATTTGGAAATTAAGCAACATGGTTTTTGGTATTGTGTAAATATTTGAAAAGATTAACAAGATGAATAAACTTCAAGATAGACTGATTGAGAATAAAAGAGAAAACAGTACCAATGTCAGGAATAAAAAAGGAGATATCACTACAGATCCTAATTAGCCAGTAGGTTGAAGAAGAAATCACAATGGAAAGTAGAAAATATTTTGAATAGAATGATAATGAAAAGATGCAGTCTCAAACTTGTAACCTATAACTAAAGCAGTTCTTAGAGGGAATCATTTTAAACAAATCTATTAGTAAAGAAAATTAAAAACCAGTGTTCTAAATTTGTATTTTAAGAAGCTGGAAAAAGAAAAGCAAATCAAATTCAAAATGACTGAAATAATAAATACGAGAACAGAAATCAATGAAATAGTAAACAATAGAGAAATACCAACAAAGGCACAAATATGTTCTTTGAAAAGATGGGTAAATTTGATAAACTCTTCATGAGACCGATGAAGAATAAAAGAATGAAAACAAATTACCAATATCATTAATAAAATAGGACATTCCTGTTGATCCTGCAGATACTTAAGCAATCGTAAGAGGATGTTTCGAATAACACACATATGAACAAATTTCCTGAAAAACTGAAAATTAGATAACTTTAACCATTATTTGAAATTTTTGCATAGAACATTTATTACTAAGATGGGAAGTGTTTTAATTCTGCCTTTACCATTACATTTTTGTCTCTTAATTTAGTAGTAAGTTGCTCTCATAAATGTACTATAAGGATCCCAATATGCTCAAGTCCAGTGTTCTTTCTTCGTAGGCTTGTTATGCTGCCTCCGCGATTGGATATCTGACAGGCAGGTAAACTGAAATCTGTTTCACTTCAATTTAATATTTTGGGGTAGAACTATTATGTCTTTCAGCTGAAGGGTGAGTTCATTTGGAAAGGTTATAGAAGAATATATTAAATAACAAGATAAAAAAATTGAAAACTCTCTGAGGGCCACATCAAAAGAATAATGATACCAGAAGTGTTTTAGAGTGGAACACATTGCCATTTTGCAGAGTGAATCACTGGTGATCAGATAGTGAGTTGATGTGTGATACCTTGTGTTGGATCTCACAACTACACCCCAGCACACTTAATACAAAAATGCTTGGTTCAAAATGTGGCTGTTGGGACCTGTTCCATGAATTCTGATTTTTTAGTGTGTATCCATGTTACCTAACTACTACTCCCTTTTTATTATTAAAAATTAATACATTTTAAAAATGTTCATTTTGGAAAACTTGGAAAATATAGAAAGCATCAAGAAAAAATGAAAATCGACTGGGCACGGTGGCTCACACCTGTAATACCAGCACTTTGGGAGGTTGAGGCGGGTGGATCACCTGAGGTCAGGAGTTTGAGACCAGCCTGGCCAACGTGGTGAAACCCCGTCTCTACTAAAAATACAAAAATCAGCCTCATGTGGTGGCACGTGCCTGTAATCCCAGCTACTCAGGAGGCTTGAGGCAGGAGAATCGGCTTGAACCTGGGAAGCGGAGGTTGCAGTGAGCTGAGATTGCGCCACTGCGCTCCAGCCTGGGCGATAGAGCGAGACTCCGTCTCAAAAAAAAAAAAGAACAAGATGAAGAGAATGAAAATCACCTATGATCTCACAACTGTTAAGAATTGGTCATTTTCTTCCGATTTTTTTCCCCTACAGTTGTATTTTTTAAGCAGAATTTGGACTCTCACGGTAATATGTATCATACTTTTTTCATTTATATTACTTTTAATACACTTTCTAATTTCCAAAAATGAAACTAGTAATTTAGTTGCTAAGAAATGTAAACTAATAAGATCTCAAAGTCTAGACCTCACCAGAACATTTTTTTTTCTGTGATAAGAAACTTGTGAATTTGAGCCTGAAGAAAATAGGCCATCAAGTAACACTATTGTCAGCATTTTCTGCCACTTTATTTACATATGACAAATATTTTTAATCTTTTCGTTTAGCTTGGAAAGCATTTAAATTATAGTTATTAATTGATGCCTTAATGTAAAAAATGCTAGAACAATGATTAAGACAATGGTTAAAAGTTCATACTTTTTTTTTTTCTTTTTCGTTTTTTCTTTTGAGATGGAGTCTTACTCCGTCGCCTGGCTGGACAGTGCAGTGGTGCGCGATCTCAGCTCACTACAACCTCTGCCTCCTGGATTCTAGCAATCCTCCTGCCTCAGCCTCCTGAGTAGCTGGGACTACAGGAGTGCGCCACCATGCCCAGCTAATTTTTGTAATTTAGTAGAGATGGGGTCTCACCATGTTGGCCAGGATGGTCTTTATCTCTTGACCTTGTGTTCCGCCGGCCTCGGCCTCCCAAAGTGCTGGGATTATAGGCGTGAGCCACCATGCCCGGCGTAGAAGTTTGTATTTAAAAATTTTTTGCTATTTGAATGAACTTCTGGAACTGCACTGGCAAGTATAGTAGCCACGAGCGATATGTACCTGTTTACATTTAAATTAATTAAAATTAAATAATATTTAAATCATAGTTTATCAGTTTGTAGTAGCCACATTTCAAGTGCTCAGCAACCATGTCAGTAGTGGCTACCGTATCATACTGCAAATGCAGAACATTTCTATTACTATACAAAGTTCTGTTGGATAGCACTGTTCTAGAAGTTTAGTTTACTTGGTGATAATTACTTATTTTCAAGTCTGTCTTGAACAGAAATTTTTAAGAAATTATTTTATAAATGTAAAATGGCAAACTGAACTATATTAAGATACTTTTTCCCTGAGTGCTTTAGGCTTAGAAAGTCACACCGAAGGGTAAAACATTCAAGTTGAATATTTATTTGGAGTCTCACTCTCGCCCCCAGGCTGGCGTGCAGTGGCACCATCTCGGCTTGCTGCAACCTCCACCTCCCAGGTTCCAGCAATTCTCCTGCCTCAGCCTGCCAAGTAGCTGGGACTACAGGTGCACACTACCACACTCAGCTAGCTTTTATATTTTTTATAGAGAGAGGGTTTCACCATATTTCCTAGGCTGGTCTTGAACTCCTGGGCTTCAGTGATCCATCCACCTCAGCCTCTCAACATGCTGGGATTACAGACATCAGCCACTGCCCTCAGCGTCAAGTTCAGTTTTAAAAGATTTTGGGGGCTGGGCGTGATGGCTCATGCCTGTAATCCCAGCACTTTGGGAGGCTGAGGCGGGTGGATCACCTGAGGTCAGGAGTTTGAGACCAGCCTGACCAACATGGTGAAACCCCATCTCTACTAAAAATACAAAAATTAGCCAGGCATAGTGGCAGGCACCTGTAATCCCAGCTACTTGGGAGGCTGAGGCAGGAGAATCACTTGAATCCAGGAGGTGGAGGTTGCAGTGAGCTGAGATCGAGCTATTGCACTCCAGCCTGGGGGACAAGAACTAGACTTTGTCTCAAAAAAAGAAAAAAAAGATTTTTGGCAAAGCACTGCATTCAGAATTACTTTCCTATCAATGATCAGTTGACGTTATATTTATTTGTTAAGAAATGAAAAAAACCTGTTTTTCATACAAAAGTGAACTCAGCAGTCAAAAATTTGCTTTTGTAGGCCATTAACTTGATTTAGCCCAGATGTAGGATCAAAATAAGTGGTTAGTGATGTAAGGTGTGAAAATGATAGGTACCTTATTTCTTGCAAGAAATCCGATAAATATAATCTTTCTTTTTTTGGGCCAGGCATGCTGGCTTATGCTTGTAATCCCAGCACTTTGGGAGGCCAAGGCAGGTGGATTGCTTGAACCCAGGAGTTCAAGAGCAGCCTGGGCAACATGGTGAAATCCTGTCCTACCAAAAAAAAATACAAAAAATTAGCCAGGCGTAGTGGCATCTGCCTGTAGTCTCAGTTACTTGGGAGGCTGTGGTGGGAAGATTACCTGAGCCTAGGAGGTTGAGGCTGCAGTGAGCCCTGATCGTGCCACTGCACTCCAACCTGGGCGACAGAGTGAGATGCTGTCTCAAAAAAAAAAAAGTGTGTGTGTATATATATATATATATATATATATATATATAAATTTTTTTTATTAAGAATATTCTAATAATCATTTTACCAGTTATACTATAGACCTGTAGGTCTTTCTTTTGAAGTCCAAGATTGCCGTGTTTCACACTAAAGTGTTATGAATCAGTTGTTAACATTTGACTTGATTTTAATAAAATAAATTCTGTTTTGCTTTTAGGCCAGGAGTCTGCCTTGTTGTTTCTGGCCCAGGTCTCATCCATGCCTTGGGTGGTATGGCAAATGCAAACATGAACTGCTGGTAATCATGCTATTATTACTGAAAACATTTTCTTAAAAAGGTCACTGCAGGATTTTACTGAGTAGAGCTAATACTGATCTAAGATAGAAAGACTTGGAAAAAAAACCCTTCAATTCTTAGAAACCGAAAGTAGAAAGTTACTGGGGAGGGAATGAGGAGGAGGAGGAGGGGGAATAGGGAGCTAGGTCAAAGGGTACAAAGTTTCAGTCAAGTAGAACAAAGCCTGGAGATCTAATGTACAACATGAAAGCTGTAGTTAATAATATTGTGTATTGTAAATTTGCAAAGAGAGTAAATTTTAGGTACTTTTACCAAAAAAAGTGACTATTTCTACAGTATCTTAGGAAAAAAGTACCATGAATGTGTTAATTTGCTTGACTGTAGTAATCATTTCACTATATGTGTGTCAAAACATCATATGGTATTCCTTAAATATATATAACTAGCAAAAGAATATTAGGACGAAAGTTCAAAGCACCAGCAATTTATTTACTTAGAGACGAACACTTTTTCTTTTTTTTCTTTTTTGACACGGAGGCTCACTCTGTCACCTAGGCTGGACCGCAGTGGTGCAATCTTGGCTCACCACAACCTCTGCCTCCCGGGTTCAAGTGGTTCTCCTACCTCAGCCTCCCAAGTAGCTGGGATTACAGGCCCCCGCCACCATGCCTGGCTAATTTTTGTATTTTTAGTAGAGACGAGGTTTCATCATGCTGGCCAGGCTGGTCTCAAACTCCTGACCTCAGGTGATCCACCTGCTTCGGCCTCCCAAAGTGCTGGGATTACAGGCATGAGCCACCGCACCCAGCTGAGATAAACACTTATAACATTTTAGAGTTTCCTAATATGTGTGTGTATGTGTGAATGTGTATATAGTTCTATTTAAGTGAAGAATTGCTTTTTAAAGATCCCAGCTCAGAGTGTAAAAATGTGGCCAATTTTTCACCTTGTTTTGCGTAGGTAGGAAGATATTTAAAATTCTTATATTCATTTAGTTTGCTTTATATATAAACTACTTAGTACCTATTCTCTGATCTTGCCCTTAACTCCATCTCTGGCACGTTACCAATGAGATCAGGTTGAAGGGGGTTAGGTTCTAATCAATTTGGAACATATTTAATCTTTCTAGTGGAAAGGACCTTGTTTTCTTTCTTGCCCTGTGTTTCTTATAGTTTCTTCTTTACTTTCCTTTTGATCTTTCTCTTCTTTATCTACTTAAAGGTGTTACATTTTTTAAGTACCTTAGGGTTTGCCATATCTTTTTTTTTCCACATTGAAGGGTAAGAATTTCATTGCTGAGGAATGTCACTTATTTTGTAATTTCCAAATATATTCACTTAGGAAAGTGTAAAATTTTTCTTCCCCTTATCCCAAAAGTAATAAGAAAGGCATAAAAATTTATTTTATGTCAATATACCGGGAAGTTTAGCATCAGTATCCAAAAGGGGAAGAAGGGGAGAAAAACTATACATTTTGTCTTTTTCTGATATTGAGGAAAGTTCTGTCATATCAGGTTGCTTCCTAGCTATTTTTTAATCAACAGTTTCTCTTTTTTCTTTCTTTTCGTTCTTTCGTTCTTTCGACAGAGTCTTGCTCTGTCACCCAGGCTGGAGTGCAGTGGCACAATCTTGGCTCTCTGTAACCTCTACCTCCCAGGTTTAAGCGATTCTCCTACCTCAGCCTCCTGAGTGACTGGGATTACAGGTGCCTGCCACCATCCCCAGCTAATTTTTGTATTTTGTATAGAGCTAGGGTTTCACCATGTTGGCCAGGCTGGTCTTGAACTCCTGACTTCAAGTGATCCACCCGCCTCGGCCTCCTAGAGTGCTGGATTACAGGCATGAGCCACCTTGCCCAGCCTTAATCTACAGTTTCTAAGAGAAAAATATAATATTCTCTCCCTTTAACATTTATTATTTGTTACGAATTAGACATTCTGTTTAGTGTTTCACATGATGATCTCATTTGTAATTATCTTGTTAAAAAAATGACTGTTTCAGGCCCTTGCTTGTGATTGGTGGTTCCCCTGAAAGAAACCAAGAAACGATGGGAGCTTTCCAGGAGTTTCCTCAGGTATCCAACTTTAAGATTTTATTTTTTTTATTTTTAATTTTTGAAACAGGATCTTGCTTTGTTGCCCAGGCTGGAGTGTGATGGTGCGATCTCAGCTCACTGCATCTTGACCTCCTGACCTCAAGCAATCCTCCCACTTTGGCCTCCCAAGCAGCTGGGACTACAGATTTGCACCACCATGCCTGGCTAATTTTTGAATTTTTTGTAGAGACGAGGTTTCACCATGTTGCCCAGGCTGGTCTTGAACTCCTGAGCTCAAGTGATCTGCCCGCCTTAGCTTTCCAAAGTGCTGGGATTACAGACATGAGCCACCGCACCTGGCCTGCAACTCTAAGATTTTAGTAACACGATACATACACACCATTAAGAGTTAGGGAGAAGATTTAATAAACCCTCCTGTTTGCAAAATAAAATAAATAAATTAGAAGTACCTGAAGTAACTTAAAGGTAATTATCTTGAGCTACTATAAGACAACCTCAGGGTGGGTATTAAGGGTGAGCTTAGGCCCTGCTTAGAAACAAGCTTTTAAGAAATACACCTTTGTGACAGGATTTTAAGCTCTGAAAATAGGCTCTTAAAAGAGACAAGAAGAGGTAGGAATAAAAATGATTCTGGACTATGCCTTCCAGACTTTAGGGAAATAAATGAGAGGAAAAATCTTACTCAAAATGATTGTCAGTAGACTCTGGGTAAGCATATTTTTGTTTTAGAAGGAGGAAAGAAAGCATTTCAAAATTAAAAGAAACTTGAAAGAATATATCAACAAAATGCTACAGTTTTAAGAATAAAGCTCTCACGCCTGTAATCCTAGCACTTTGGGAGGCCAAGGTGGGCAGATCATGAGGTCAGGAGATCAAGACCATCCTGGCTAACACAGTGAAACTCCATCTCTACTAAAATTGCAAAAAAATTAGCCGGGCGTGGTGGTGGGCATCCGTAATCCCAGCTACTTGGGAGGCTGAGGCAGGAGAATGGCATGAACCTGGGAGGCAGAGCTTGCAGCGAGCCGAGATCGCGCCACTGCACTCCAGTCTGGGCGAAAGAGCGAGACTCTGTCTCAAATAAATAAATAAATAAATAAATAAAAATAAAGCTAGACAAGGTGTTGCATAACTGTATTCCTAGCTACTCAGCTGCTAGGCTGAGGCGGGAGAATTGCTGGAGCCCAAATGTTTGAGACCAGTCTGTGTAACATATTCAGGTCTTGTCTCTTTCTTTTTTTTTTTTTTGACAGGGTATGACTGTGTTGCCCAATCTGGAGAGCAGTGGTGCGATCTTGGCCCACTGCAACCTCCTGGGCTTAAGCCATCCTCCCACCTCAGCCTCCCGAGTGGCTGGGACTATAGATAGGCACATACCACCATGCCCAGATAATTTTTGTACTTTTTGCAGAGACAGTGTTTTGCCATGTTGCCCAGGCTAGTCTTGAACTACTGACCTCAAGTGTCCCACCCACCTTGGCCTCCCAGAGTGCTGGGATTACAGGCATGAGCCACCACGCCCATCCAAGAGACCTTGTCTTTTTTTTTTTTTTAAAAAGGAACAGTTGTAGGAAACAAATAGATGAAAGTGAATGATTGACACTTAAGATGCAAATATATTTGAGCATTTACAGGGACAAAGTTAAAATCATTAGACAGCCGGGCACAGTGTCTCATCCCTGTAATCACAGCACTACTTTGGGAGGCCCAAGCGGATAGATCACTTGAGGTCAGGAATTTGACACCAGCCTGGCTAACATGGTGAAACCCTGTTTCTACTAAAAAATACAAAAATTAGGTGGGCTTGGTGGCAGGTGCCTGTAATCCCAGCTACTTGGGAGGCTGAGGCAGGAGTATCCCTTGAACCCAGGAGGCAGAGGTTGCAGTGAGCCGAGATTGCACCACTATACTCCAGTCTGGGTGACAAGAGCGACACTCTGTCTCAAAAATAAATACATAAATAAAATCATTAGACAAAGTCTATTTGTAAATCAGGAATCATTGTTGAGAACTTCAAAACATAAATTTTCATATATGATAAACTAAAATACTGAACTGTAGTATAGGTTAATGCAGAAATTACATTTTTATGCTCTTAGAAATGAATTGAAGTTTTATTTAGTTAATGGTAGACGATAACAGTTATTTAAAAGATGCTGATGTGTTTGGAAAATAAGTAGAGCAGATAAGTTAATTAAAAGGAAATCTAAAGTTACTGCAGAAACTATATAGGTGAAAAAGAAAACAGGATAAATGTCCACTACATATTTTTTTCCTGAAATGGAAAATAATAGTTTATTAGATCACATTTAAAAACAGAAGAGGAAGAATCCAAATATCTGTTTTTTGTGGAAGTCCTTAAAACTAAAGGACATGAACATAGACTGAAAATCGTGGGGTGATCTTAATTTTGTCATGCCTGGGACTATCAGTTTTTCATAGATTTCATACTGAAATTGTAAAACTGTTTCAAGAGAAACAGTTTCTATATAATGCCTCAAGATATATTAAGCAGTGAAAAATTACACTACTGAATTCATATGTTCTAAACACCATAGCAGGAAGGCACATAAAAGGAACACTGGCAGAAATGTAAAAATAGATTATTATTATAACAAAATATAACAGATGAAGTTACATATTCTTATCTGTGAAATTGCTGGATCCAAAGATACACTGATTTAAATTTTTTGTAGATTGTGTTAACTTCCTTTCCCATTTATAGTCTCACCAGCAGTTTGTAGAAGTGCCTATTTTCCTGTGTTGTGTTAGATGGTGGGTATTATCAAACTTTTGCATCTTTGCCAAAAGATTTTGCATCTTTGGTATGATATGCTTCCTGAATCATACCAAGGCAAAACTTTGTGCTTTGAATAGGCTTTTAAGGGACAGTCTAGGTAATACATTTTCTCCATCTTGCCTCTAAACATAAAAGAAACTAATTACTTAACATTTTGTCTTCTTTCAGGAGAGTAATATGATTGTGAGCTGAATTTTAAGTGATTTTCATTTTCCACATAGGTTGAAGCTTGTAGATTATATACCAAGTTCTCTGCCCGTCCAAGCAGCATAGAAGCTGTTCCTTTTGTTATTGAAAAGGTATGGTATTTAGTAACAAGCTCTCCAAGTCAACTGATTTTTCTCGGTTGCTTATACTTAATGTTATTCTTATTCTCAAAAGAATGAGTCACAAATTGGAATATACTCAGGCAGTTAAAAATGGCATTGTTAGAAAACTATTTACATTTTAATGTTCACTGTCATTACATTTAATTATAGAGAGGTAAAATAAGTTATTTTTGGAAAAAGTTTCTCCTGTGTTTTAGTTTTTAAAATTACCTTTTTAATTATACAAAAGTAAAGAGAAAGGTTTATAATGAACCCCTGAGTACCTTTTCTCTTGTGCTTTTGCAAAAGATTATTTTTGAAAATTGGGACTAAACCAAAACCCTCTAAGACCCTCTGTTGGTTAATTAAACAGCATACAGGTTGATTATTCCATACCTGAAATGCTTTTTGGAAGGGTTTCTGACTGCAGATTTTTTCAGATTTTAGAATATTTGCATATATATAATGAGACATCTTGGGGATACGACCCAAGTCTAAATATGAAATTCATTTATGTTTCATATGTGCCTTATATACACAGTCGGATGATAACTTTATTTTTCCCTTGGGGACGCTGAATAAACTGTTTAGACACCTGCATTTTGACTGTGAGCTGTCACATGAGGTTAGATGTGGAATTTTCCACTTGTATCATCATGTCGGCACACACCAAGTTTCACATTTTGGAAGATTTTGGATTTTTGGATTAGGATAACCTGTATTATAAATTATAATCAGCATTTATACATGAAATTACGCTTGAGCTGTTTCAAAACCAGGAGTTACAGAAACCATTTGATACATGTAACAACATCACAGTTTCTGAAAACACTGCCAGATTATTAAGGTTAGGAAGCAGGTGAAAGTACATATTACAGTGCAAAAACTTGGCAGGCAGAGCTTAGTGAATAATTTCCAAAACTAAAGTGTAATACAACATGAATTTTAAAGCCCTGAGTGAATACTTTCTTATCTCTCTCCCTTTTAAACAAAAAATCTTTAAAATTGTAGTCAATAGAGGACATTTCAATTTTGATCATCAGAAAGATGAAAATAGTGTTCATAATTACAGTTTTAAATTATCTTTGAGTAGAATATGATAAGACTGAGATTTTACAAATCTTTTCTTCTACTTGTAATGAACATAGGCAGTGAGAAGCAGTATCTATGGTCGTCCAGGTGCTTGCTATGTTGACATACCAGCAGATTTTGTGAACCTTCAGGTGAATGTGAATTCTATAAAGTGAGTAATAGTTATGCTGGAATTCTTTCTTCAATGTACATGTATTATCATAATGCCTACCTTTCTAGAAGAATTTACCCAGCAGTTTATAAGTTAATTTCCATTTGTCTTAACTTGATGATTTAGTAATTAAACTGAATCCTAGCCAAAGGGCTTAATTATCTTAATTAAAATGATATTAGTAGGTATTTCTGGATTTAATTACTAAACCAAATACTTAGAACGTCCTGAACTCCTCGATGAAATTATTCCTCCATTAACCATAAATGTACATCCCTTGTTAATGTAGTATGGGTCCTTGAGAATCTTTATAATGTAAGCCAAGAGGTTCGGTGATTATTAAAAATTATTAGGACTCAGGATAAAAAACATCTAGCTGTCTCTCTCTGTGGTTAACAAATATTCCAATATAGAAGTTTCTATGATTTCTCATATTCTCATATTTCTTAAATAAACACTAAATGAAAAGAAGTACAAAAATCATTTTTCACTGGTATCTAAGTCATCCCCTGATAAGGATAGGTACTTGGGGTTAAAGCATAATGGGTACCGTTTAGTGCATTTCTGCTGTTGTGGACCAAATGGATCTCTAGTGACTACAGAGAGACAATGGGTCTTACTGTTTACTCTGTGTACCAAAGAGTGATTTTTTTGTTTTTTTCTTTTGAGACCGAGTCTCTCCCTGTTGCCCAGGCTGGAGTGCAGTGGCACAATCTCAGCTCACTGCAACCTCTGCCTCCCAGGTTCAAGCGATTCTTCTGCCTCAGCCTCCCAAGTAGCTGGGATTACAGGCGCCCGCCACCATGCTCGGCTAATTTTTGTATTTTTAGTAGAAACAGGGTTTCACCATGTTGGCCAGGCTGGTCTCGAACTTCTGACCTCATGATCCGCCAACCTTGGCCTCACAAAGTGCTGGGATTACAGGCATGAACCACCGTGCCTGGCCAGGAGTGATTTTTATTTGGGAGAGCTGGATAAAAAAGACATCTGTTTATTCTGCCTAATAGCTGAGCATGATAATCAAAATAATACTAAGGGGAGGAGGGCAAGCTCAGGTAAGTTAACTCTGTAAGCCTTCTTTTAAATTTTATGCAGATTGTCCTTTTCTATTATATGTCTAAATATTTTGACAATATGTCTAAATTTTATACAGTATAATTTATATTAATTAGAATAAATGAAATGTCACAGGACTTGGTGTCCAGAAATACTTGACTGTGACAGTTTGAATATTTATTTTACTAATGCATATTGTGATACTAAAATATTAACTCCCAGTCAGTGGAAATGTAGTGAGGCCAGGTGTGGTGGCTCACATCTGTAATCTCAGAACTTTGGGAGTCCGAGGTGGGTGGATCACCTGAGGTAGGAGTTTGAGACCAGCCTGGCCAACATGGTGAAACCCCATCTCTACGAAAAATACAAAAATTAGCCAGGCTTGGTGGCATGTGCCTGTAGTCCCAGCTACTCAGGAGGCTGAGGCAGGAGAATCACTTGAACTCGGGAAATGGAAGTTGCAGTGAGCCAAGTTCGCACCACTGTACTCCAGCCTGGGTGACAGAGTAAGACTCTGTCTCCAAAAAAAAAAAAAAAAAGAAATGTGGTAAGGTGTTTAAAAGCATGGACTTTGGAGACAGAATGACTGGTTCAATCCAGTCTCTGCTATGTGCCATCTGGAGATCTTGGATAAGTTACTGTCTCTGAGTCCTTTTTTTCCCTCAGCGGTGAAGTGGAGATGATGTTAATACCTAACCTCATTGTTTTGACAGATAAATGAGAATAAATGGCACATAGCAAACATTAGATTTTATGATGTTTTTACTGTTAAGACAGCTGCTACTGCTACTGCAGTACAAAGCCATTAACTCAGATTTTCTGTCAATGAATTGACCATTTCACTGGCTATTAGATGATATCAGGGAATAACTCTTAATTTACCAGATGTGATAATGATGTGATAGTTGAATATAGGAGAAGGTCCTTATTCACAGCTGCATGGAGAAATTTTTAAGGGTAAAGTGTCTTGATGCCTATTATTTACTTTAAAATAGTTTAGGAAAAATAAATGCATGTTTATGTGTGTATATATGAAACAAATGTGGTAAAATGATATTAAGTTGTTAGATCTATATGGGGGTATGTGGGGACTTATTGTACTATTTTTTCTACCTTTCTATATATTTGAAATTTTCACAATAAAAAGATCAGAGCTGGCCTCTTTTAATTAATAGGGCTCTTTATTTCCAGGTACGTGGAGCGCTGCATGTCACCTCCTATTAGCATGGCAGAAACCTCTGCTGTGTGCACGGCAGCTTCTGTTATTAAGAATGCCAGACAGCCCCTTCTTATCATCGGGAAAGGTAACATGAATAGAACTCTAAATCGTGCTAGGCTTTTGAAAGTGCCAATTCTTTTTATAAACTTTCGTTGTTTATTGATGTCTGTACTTTTTTTTTTTTTTTTTTGAGACGGAGTCTTGCTCTGTCACCCAGGCTGGAGTGCAGTGGCCGGATCTCAGCTCACTGCAAACTCCACCTCCCAGGTTTACGCCATTCTCCTGCCTCAGCCTCCCGAGTAGCTGGGACTACAGGCGCCCGCCATGTCGCCCAGCTAGTTTTTTGTATTTTTTAGTAGAGACGAGGTTTCACCGTGTTAGCCAGGATGGTCTCGATCTCCTGACCTCGTGATCCACCCGTCTCGGCCTCCCAAAGTGCTGGGATTACAGGCTTGAGCCACCGCGCCCGGCCTATTGATGTCTGTTCTAATGTTTGAAATTGGAGTAAGAATTCTCATCATCCATTTAGCATTGTTTGTTTTGAAATTATAGACATTAATGCCCAGAGATTTCACCCTTTTAAGGAAATACTACCTATTTAATTTCTTTGGTCTTATTAGTGAAATGTGTTTATTCTATTATAAAACATTTTGGAAAACCAAGAAAAGTAGAAGTTCCTTCATCTAAGGTAGCTATTTTTAACATTTAGTACATTTCTATTCCTTTTGACATATATATTACGTACTGTGCTCATACTATATAGCTTTGTATTCTACCTTATTCATTTAAGATTATAATATTTTTCATCTTAGAAGTATTTCCTAAATATATTTTTTAATGTCTCTTCAGGTGTACATTAACACTTACTTTCCTGGCAAATATTTAAATCTTTGCCAATTACTATTTGTTTGTTTAGAGTAGCTGTGGCAAACATGTTTGTGCCTAAAGCTTTTTCTGTATTTAGGATTTAAGATTCCCAGAAAGAAAAGTTAGAGGGTATTAATATTTTTAAGAGTTTTGTACATATTGTCATATTGCTTTCTCCAGAGGTAGTGTACCAACCAACTTATACTCCTGTCAGGAACTGATTATAGTATCCATTTCGTGTTCTAGAACTGAGGCTGCTGGGATCACCTATGACCATGCTAATCAATTATCAACTGCTTAGGAACTAAATACGTAGAAACTAAAAATAGTTTGATAGTGTACGACAAAAAAATTGAGGTCAGAATTGAGTTGAATGTGTTATATGATGTATTAGCTCGGTGACTTTGAGAAACAACTGCTTTGAGTTTCAGATTACCTCACTTGTAAAATAGGGATATTAACTGCCTCAGTGGGATACAATTAAATAGCAAAATATGTGGAAAGCACTCAGTGGATGCTAATTTTCATTCTTCTTTTAACAAACATTTGATGAGTGCTTATGATAAGGCAGGGATTACATAAAACATTCATGAGGGATACAGAGAAATAGTGGTTCCTACCTATTGGGGAGGGGAGATAGACCTGGTAACAAGTAAGTGCGGTATACTCTTGTGCAATGTGTACAGAGAGGCTGAGGTGGGTTTTCAAGGGAAGCAGAAACAATTTGCTTGTGTAGGTAATATGGAAGGACTATCCAGAAGAGGTGACACAACAGCTGTATCTTGAAAAAGCAGACAGTGGTTTACCAAGTGGATAGAGACCAAAGGCAAAGCAGGAAGAGAGAACTGAGTGTACAAAGACATTGAGACAGGAAGGAGAATACAAGAACACTTTCTGGATGAAAAAAGGAACTATTTTTCATCATACATACATAAGAAGGGATTTCAAGATAGTTTTGTAGAATGGAGCATTATATTGAATCTGCAAGTGCATGATACTATTTACTAGGATTTAGTAGAGAATTATAAATACAGAATATGGAATAATATACTAGCCTTGAAAAAGTATAAAATAGCAAAAAAATATAGTGGTCTTGATGACATTAGAAATGGAATATTTGAACAATAAGGTATTTTTCGTGCCATCAAGGGAATAGGGTATAGGGTTATTCCCAGGCACACAACTGTGAAAACAAATGATAATGTGGGCTGAGCGGGGTGGCTCATGCCTGTAGTTCCAGCACTCTGGGAGGCTGAGGTGGGTGGATCCCCTGAGGTCAGGAGTTCGAGACCAGCCTGGCCAACATGGTGAAACCCCGTCTCTACTAGAAATACAAAAATTAGCCGGCCATGGTGGCAGGCACCTGTGATCCCAGCTACTTGGGAAGCTGAGGAAGGAGAATCGCTTGAACCCGGGAGGCGGAGGTTGCAGTGAGCTGAGATTGCGCCGTTGCCCTCCAGCCTGGATGACAAGAGTGAGACTTTGCCTCAAAAAAAAAAGATAATGTGTCCCACTGGGGTTAGCTCTGTTACAATCACAGAATTATAGAGCCTGTAGAAAGATCTGCATATCTTTAGAAACTTAATGCACCTTAGAATTTCCATGCCTGGACTAGGATACCTTGTGTAGAGGAGGTTTGCTGGAGATGAGGACCAACATGTGAGGGTAGAGAGAGCTTTTCTCTTTCGGGGCAACATTCTTCCCAGGCCACCTGGGCCTCCCAGTGTGTTCAGGGAATTGTAGAGTGTAGTTCAGTAGGACCGTAGCATAGAATGGGTAAGTGACAGTAGCAAGAGCTGTGAGATGTGACTTTTGTTTTGAGATAGACATCCTTCAGAATAATTGAGAGTATTATTGGTGGAAGATTAGAACTCTTACTTTGGTAAGCATTTAAAAATAACAGCGATAAAAACTGTAGTCACAATTTGTTTTGAGTTTAAGCCCACGTATAGGCAGAAGGAGAATATTTGAGTATTGATCTACAAGCAATTTCTTAGGAGGTCAAGGAAGGAGGATTGCTAGAGCCCATGAGTTCAAGACCAGCAGACCTGCCTGGGCAATATAGGGAGACCTCACCTCTTCAGAAAATTTTAAAAGTAGCTGAGTGCGGTGGTGGTGTGTGCCTGTAGTCCCAGCAACTCGGGAAGCTGAGGAGGGAAGATTACTTGAGCCAGGGGAGCAGAGGTTACAGTGAGCCAAAATTATGCCGCTGTACTCCAGCCTGGGTGATAGAGTAAGTCCCTGTCTCAAAAAATAAATAAATAAAAAGCAATTTCACATGAACTTTTTTTTTTGTTTTTTTTTTGAGATGGAGTCTTGCTCTGTCACCCAGGCTGGAGTGCAGTGGCCCGATCTCGGCTCACTGCAAGCTCCGCCTCCTGGGTTTATGCCATTCTCCTGCCTCAGCCTCCCGAGTAGCTGGGACTACAGGTGCCCGCCACCTTGCCCGGCTAGTTTTTTGTATTTTTAGTAGAGACGGGGTTTCACCGTGTTAGCCAGGATGGTCTCGATCTCCTGACGTCGTGATCCGCCCACCTCGACCTCCCAAAGTGCTGGGATTACAGACTTGAGCCACCGTGCCCGGCCCACATGAACTTTTTTAAGGGTCACAGTGCCTAGAGCTTAACTGAATTGTCCAATGCATTTGCATTTCTTGTAGGTGCTGCTTATGCTCATGCAGAAGAGAGTATCCAGAAATTGGTGGAGCAATATAAACTGCCATTTTTGCCCACCCCTATGGGGAAGGGTGTTGTCCCTGACAACCATCCATACTGTGTAGGTGCAGCCAGATCCAGGTGTGTGGCGTTCCACATTTTAAATACAATGGCTTGGTAGATTTTAGGCTAATTTAAATTATTTTGTGATCTTCATCTAGGATGGAGTTCTGAAAGAATCGTGGAATTTTAAGCATACCTGTTTATTTTTGGACTATCTTTCCTGGTTTCATATGAGAAATCTGCAGTTATTCAAATTATTGTTGCTCTGTATGTAATATGTTGTTTTTCCATGGCTGCTCCCAATATTTTCTTTTATCTTTTATTTCCAGCAGTTTAATTATGATGTGTCTGTACATGGTTTATTTTAATTTAGCCTGTTTGGGATTCTCAAGTCTTGAATCTAAAAATTTCTTTCTTTCTCTAAATTTGTCTTTCTCTAGATTTGGAAAGTTTTCATCATTCTTTCTTCAAATATTGTTTTCTATGTCAACCTTCATCCATTTTGATATTGTCTGACATGTCCCTGAGTATCTATTCATTTCTTTTTAATTCTTTTATTTTATATTTTGTTTCTCTGCTCAGATCTTCTATTTTCACATTTCTTTCAAGAATATTTTTCTATACTTTTTGATGGAGTAAGTTACAATAGTTTCTGCAGTCTTTGTTTATTAATTCCAACATCTGAGTCATCTCAGATTGGCATCTATTCATTATCTTTTATTTTGAGAGTTGATCACATTTTTCTGGCTCTTTTTGTACTGAGTAATTTTGGATTGTGTCCTGGATTTTTGAATATTATATTTTGAGATTCTGGGTCATATTAAAATCCTCTGTAGAATGTTGATTTTTGTTGGTTTCTCTTAGCAATCAATCAACATGATTAGATTAGCTTGACTACAAATTGAAGTGTGAACTTACCATAAGTAAGTAGTTCCAGGGTCACTTAAGTTTCAGAACCTTTCCTGTGCTGTTTTCAGGCTGTCTGCACATGCTCAGCTCAGGGGTGAGCCCCAGACATGTACTGGTTCATACCCAAATTAGAGATTTATTTTCTCTCCTCTGTAGGCTCCCCACCCCTACTCTCCCATTCTCAGGTGCCCCTTTTCCTGGCTCTTGCTGCTCCCTTATAGTATCACATAACTAAAGCTGCTCTCTGAACAAGCTGCAGAAGAAAAAATAATGGGGATTGTCCCCATGTTCTTCAGACCGCAGGGACCCTTTTTTCCCAATCCCTCTTGCCTGAGAGATGACGTTTCTCTTGGAATTTCAGCTGCTTGGGAGCCACCACAATGCAGCTCTGCAGTAGGGCTGCCCTCAGAGCAGAGCTGGGAGATAAAGAAAAAAAGAAAAAAAATCTGACCATTTTCCCCCAGACTGTCCAGCTTGCAGTGGCCCTTTTCCTGATCCTTCGGCCAAAAAAACAGTTTCTCTGCGAGTTTTTGCTGCTTGCAGTTCTGCAAGTAGGGCTGTCTTTGAGTGAAAGCCAGGAGACAAAACACGGGGGAGAAATACCTTGGAAACTCACCCTCTGTGTGGGTTGCTTCTTCAAACTTATCCAATCTTGGCTGGCATTGGAAGCTTCCTCTTTTTAGATTTTTAAGACATGCTTTTTAATGTACTATAACTTTTTTCTTTTTAATTTCTTGAAATGTCTTTATCATGAAATATTCTAACTATACACACAGGAAGAGAGAATAATGTAACGAACACTTACATAACCACCACTCAGTGTCAACATAAAAAGTACAGACAGATGAATCTCTAAGTAAAAAAGGTTTCATTTGGGAATAATATATGATAAGTAGGATTGCATCAGTTATTAACATTATTTTATATTGCTTTAGGGTTTTTGGGTTTTTTGGAGAGGGGGTCTTGCTCTGTTGCCCAGACTGGAGTGCAGTGGCGCAATCACACCTGATTGCAACCTCTGCCTACTGGCTGGGCTAAAGCAATCCTCCCACCTCAGCCTCCCAAGTATTAATAGCTGGAACTACAGGCGTGTGCCATTACAACCTGGCTAATTTTTGTATTTTTTGTACAAACGAGGTTTCACCATGTTGCCCATGCTGGTCTTGATCTCCTGGGCTCAAGGAATCCACCCATCTAAGCCTCCCAAAGCACTGGGATTACAGGCATGAGCCACCATGCCCGGCCTAGGGTTTTTTTTTTTTTCCTTTTTAGGAAGCGAAAAATTATGGATTCATTTGCAGTCCCCTAAATATCTTTTTTGATCCCATTTTTTCCTTCCCTTTCCATAGTTTATTATTGTCACGTATTTGGTGTTCTTCATATTTTCATTCATGGGTTAAAATTAATTCTGAAGGTTTTTAATTTTTATTTTGTAGAGACAGGGCTTCACTGTGTTCCCCAGCCTGTACTCAGACCCCTACGCTCAAGTGATCCTTCCACCTTGGCCTCCCAAAGTGCTGGGAATACAGGCATGAACACTTGGCTTCTGAGGGCTTTTTAAATGTAATATTTGCTGCTAGATCTTTACTTGTTCCTCACTTAATGCTACCTTAATATATCATCATTTTATTTATATTACTATATACAGTAACCAAGTTAATTCTTACACTGTTAATTTTTTTTTATACTTAGGTTAAAATGAAGTTTATCTTCAATCTAGCCAGATTTTAAGAGGATAATATTAATGACATTGCCAGTGTAAAAAAGGTTGCAAGGGGCTATGAATAATTGAATCAATGATTTCAAGGGTTTTAGAGTATCAGTAAGCAAGTCTGTCCTGCTGATTGCAGTTATCTGTTTGTTAAATTGGGTCTCATAGGACTATTACAATATTGAAGATGATTTTTGAGTATGTACTTAATTTTTGAGTATATAATTTCTGCAAAAAATTGCATTTATCACCGAAGAAGACAAAAGCAGTAAATACAGATCCTGTATGGCAAAAGACAAGAAAAATGGGAACTAGATAAAAGACGCAGAAAAATGAGAAGTGAAAAGCAAAACAAAACCCACAGCAATGATGATAATAAACTCTCCTGGAAAAAGGCAGACATTCAGATTAGATTAGTAATAACAGCAACTATATGTGTTATAAGAGCCACATCTGAAACATAATGATACAGCTTTAAAACAAGACTGGGCAAAGATAAGTGAAGTAAAGAAAAAGCAAGCAAGGGTGGTTGTGTTATGAAAGTAAAAATCATTAAAAGATTAGAAGTTATATTGACAAAAGTATTAAAATATATAAAATAAAACTTAGAAATCTAGTTGATACAATATTTTAGAAAGCAATTCTGGAATATGGATCAATAGTCTTAAAAATACTTCTTTCTAGGGACCAACGTGAAGAGTGCATTAAGACTTAAGTATGAAGATGTGCAACCCAGCACTATTAATAACAGAATATCCAGAAATTGAGAAAACATTAAATAAATTTTGGTATATGTGTTCAGCAAAATATGTAGACTTTAAAAGTTGTATTTAAGAACTTAATGACAAAGGAAAACTTTTTTTTTTTTTTTTTGAGACATAGTCTCGCTCTGTCGCTAGGCTGGAGTGCAGTGGCGTGATCTCGGCTCACTGCAACCTCTGCCTCCCAGGTTCAAGCGATTCTTCTGCCTCAGCCTCCCGAGTAGCTGGGACTACAGGTGCACACCACCAAGCACGGCTAATTTTTGTATTTTTAGTAGAGACTGGGTTTCACTGTGTTGGCCAGGGTAGTCGCCATCTGTTGACCTCGTGATCCGCCTATCTTGGCCTCCCAAAGTGTTGGGATTGCAGGCGTGAGCCACTGCACCAGGCCAGGAAAACATTTATGTAAGCAAAAGTATATGAGACAGCCAGGCACAGTGGTTCATGCCTGTAGTCCAAATAATTTGGGAGGCCAACGCGGGTGAATCGCTTGAGCCCAGTAGTTCGAGACCAGTCTACAAAAAATTAAAAATTAGCCAGGTGCAGTGGCACGTGCCTGTAGTCCCAACTGCTCAGGAGGCTGAGGTAGGAGGATTGCTTAAGCCTGAGAGGTAGAGAATGCAGTGAGCCATGATTGCACCACTGCATTTCAGCCCAGGCAAAAGAGAGAGGAGACCGTGTCTCAAAACAAAAAGAAGTGTATGAGACAGTATTATAGTATATAAAGTCAACTATGTAAAAATATATTTGCATACAAAAAAAGAGTGGATGAAAATATGCCAGGATATTCATAATAGTTTATAGGTTGAAAGTATTATGGGGTGATTTTGTTTTTAGCCTTATACTTTTTCTGTTTTTTTCTGGATTGTCTACAGTGAACTTGTACTAATTTTTCTAATTATAAAAAAGTAATAAAAGAGTATAGATACAGCTTATGGTAATTTTTTAAACTTAATTTATATTTTGGATAACTATTTATATAGAATGGCTTTACAAATTATTTTAGCTTGAAAGATCAAATAATACCCTAGAAGCTGATTCTGAAGTCTGATGTAAGCTCCAAACGATTTAGACTTTTCAAATACTTTAGAGATAAATTTTAGAATAATTCAAATAAGAAATATAGTTATACTTTTATATCAATTTTTTTAATAGGGCTTTGCAATTTGCTGATGTAATTGTGTTATTTGGTGCCAGACTAAATTGGATTTTACATTTTGGACTGCCTCCAAGATACCAGCCAGATGTGAAGTTTATCCAGGTACTTAGGAGGAACTTAATATCAGAAATGTCTGTGTTCGTTGTTCTCCCTATCAGCCATAATCAGCTCTGTTTTCTTCTTGATTTCTATTTAAAAAACTGTTCTCTTTTTATGTAAGTAGCATTTTATAAATTGTCTAACATAATTACAGGTACCAAAATAAGCTTCCTTTTCTAGCCTATGAAACATAATGGGCCGCTTTACTTCTAGCCAGAAAACCTTTCAAAATTAACTTTCAAATAGTTTAAAAAGCATAATTTGTCTTTTCTTCACAATTCAAGTATATTTAAAGGTAGAGAAAAGAGACTGTAGGATGGTAGACTAGAACAAAACATTTGGCCTTGTTAGGGAGTGAGGTTTTCTTTCAGATGCCAAAACTTTTACCTTTCCAATGGGAATTTCTAAATGACACTGTTTTATATGTCATTAAACAGTATCCGGAATGTATTCTGACCTGTCTTTGATGATTCTTGTATCATTATGACCCACCTTATAAGCCAGTTTCTTTACTGATGTGGAAAATACTACCTGCATAGTGGCACTCAAACCTTTTTGCTCTACGCGGATTGGCCCCATTTTGCTTAATGTTTTTGCTTGGTGGTTGTTTTTGAGACAGCATCTTGCTCTGTCACCCAGGCAGGAGTGCAGTGGCATGATAATGGCTCACTTCAACCTCAATCTCTCGAGCTCAAGTGATCCTCCCACCTCAGCTTCCTGACATGCTGGGACTATAGACGCGTACAACAATGCCTAGCTAATTTTTATTTTTTTGAAAAGACACAGTCTCACCGTGTTGCCCAGGCTGGTCTCAAACTCCTGACCTCGAGCAATTCTCCTACCTCAGTCTCCCAAAATGTTGGAGTACAGACTTGAGCCACTGTGCTTGGGTTATTTTAATGTTTGATGAGCCAGCTATAGTTGCCCTTTTCCCAGTCTACCTTTTGCTACTTAAGGAGTCAACTTCTAATTGCTCCTTTCCCAGCTGAACGCATTGAGAACTAAAACCGCAGACAAGCAAGACTGAGTTAACTGGAAGATACTGATACCTCTTGATTACCCCTCTTGATTATAGAATAAGATACATCCCCTTTGGGGTGGCTACATTATTCCTCTTTGCAGAAGCCATTTTCATTTGTCCATGGCCATCCAGAAATGGAACTTCTGAGTAAATGGAGAAGTAATCATGCCATGTTCTTGGAGTGATTCTCTAAATGTGATTCCCTGGGCCAGCTACATCAGCACCACCTGTGAAACCTGTTAGAACTGCACATTTCTGGATCCTACCCCAGACTTACTAAAATAAAAAACTCTGAGGTAGACTCCTACAGTCTATGGTTTATCAAGCCCAGAATACACCAGGTGACTCTGATATATGCTCAAATTTGAGAACCCACACTCTAGATAGGAATTCCAAATGTGATTCAATAAAACTTACTGATTAGATGCAAAACCATAATTGATCAGGTCAAATGCATTCGCTATGGGTATAATGAAGCAATACCAAAATTCCATAGAGTAGCTTTTTAAATGAGGCTCTCTATACTAGCTATGATACTAATATAGTTCTATGGACTTTTACTTTTTTTATTGAGGAACTTCTGAATATCAAATCTTCTTTATCATGTGTTTTATATACACAGTTAATTTATTCAGTCTTAATTGACTTCTGACATACTTTTCAGAATAAACATGGATTGTTCTTTAGCCTTGTCTCTTTTTTAGGTTGATATCTGTGCAGAAGAATTGGGTAATAATGTAAAGCCGGCTGTTACTTTACTAGGAGACATAAATGCTGTCACTAAGCAGGTGAGAACTTTTGTTTTAGTTTGTGTGGAGTGCTCTTTAGGGAATAGTCAATTCTTGAAAATGTTTTAATCTTGATTCACTTGGTAACAGGTCTACTATTCATATCTGTTTTAAACAAAATGTGTGATCGAAAACTATTCTTAAATACAACTTTGGAACTTGATAAGTCCAACTTCTGGTACATAGCTCATTTTTATGTAAGTTAAGCATTTTTGGAAGGTGATCGAAAATGTAACATCTTTCAGTAGGCAAACCGTAATTTACTAAATAGGATCCAGCTATCTGAAAAAGTATACCTTCCAAAGGAACTGAACTTACTGCCAAGAAATGACTTAGCACTGGAAAAATCTAACAGTATTTCTTTAGGTAAAAAAGAGCTTTTTACTCTTTAATCAGTGACTTTTCAGGTTCTTATTATTTGTACATAGTTTGTACACTTCACTGTGACAGGAGATAAATATAGACACATTTATCACTTGATTTTGGATGATACAATTTGGTATTGTTGTCATGATTACACAATATAGGATGTAATCCCGAATCACATATTAAATCACTCTGGAGCAAATGGTCTGTATCATAGGAGTCCATGGTTATTTTTTGGTTTTCCTATAAGAGTTCTGTGGAAGGAGTGATTTTCCTTCTAGTGTCGAAGACCGAGGAGGGTCTCAGAGCCCCTGCTTGAGGTGTGGAGGAGGTAACAGCACTCCAGTCTGTCCTAAGGGCATTCCAGCATCTAGCAGAAACCCACACTGACCCAAACAGAAGCCTTCCATGTTATCTATTGATCTTCTATCAGGTGTTTACTAACTAGAGAAAAAAAAGAGTCTGAGTAATATGAAGAGTAGTATGGCCATATTGTCTTCTTTAAGAAGATATTTCCATGTTAATATGATTTAAATTTATTTTTTTAAAGCAGACTGGGCACGGTGGCTCATCCCTGTAATCCCAGCACTTTGGGAGGCCAAGACAGGTAGATCACCTGAGGTTAGGAGTTTAAGACCAGCCTGGCCAACATGGTGAAACTCCGTCTCTACTGAAAATACAAAAATTAGTCAAGTGTGGTGGCAGGCACCTGTAGTCCCAGGAGGTTGAGGCAGAAGAATCGCTTGAACCTGGGAGGCGGAGGTTGCAGTGAGCTGAGACTGCGCCACTGTACTCCAGCCTCGGTGACAGAACGAGACTTCATTTCAAAAAAAAAAGGCAAAGAAAAAGTTTATATGGTTTTTTTTTGTGTGTGTGTGTGTGTGTTTTTTTTTTTTTAGCTTTTAGAGGAACTTGATAAAACACCATGGCAGTATCCTCCAGAGAGCAAGTGGTGGAAAACTCTGAGAGAAAAAATGAAGAGCAATGAAGCTGCATCCAAGGTAAAATGGGACCTACTGAAGCTCAAGAACAGGTCAGGCTCATGATTCGGTTACTTCTGCTGTAATGTGACATGTGCATTCCTAAAAATCACCTTGCTGTGCAAAATTGTGCAATAAAAACCCCAGGGCTCATGGAAAAAGGGATGTGGTGGCACAATTCTCAAAAACTTTGTGTAACATAAAAATAAGATAAGAGCCTAATGTTTTAAACATGTTAAATGGTTAAGAAATATATGCCAATGAATATAGCATTTTACCTTGAAAAAGACCTGAAGTTTCTGAAAGGTTGTAGCTTGTGAGTTTTTGTGAGCTGGTGGAAGGAAGGTGATCAGACGTCAGATGGAAAGTGATAATAGTGGAAGTGGATGGGTGTGTTTTCAGTTTGATGTTGGCATAGAACATCATATTTAAACACCTGTAATCTGAGTGCTTTAGGAGGCCAAGGCAGTAAGATCAGTTGAGGCCTGGAGTTTGAGACCAGCCTGGGTATAGCAAAACCTCTTGTCTCTAAAAAAAAAAAAAAAAAAAAAAATTAGCCAGATGTGGTGGGACACACCTGTTGTCCTGTCTCCTCAGGAGGCTGATATTGGAGGATTGCTTGAGTCTAGGAGTTGAGGTAGCAGTGCAGTAGATCATGCCACTGCACTCAAGCCTGGGTGGCAGAGTGAGACCCTGTCTCTAAAGGAAAAATTAACTATTAAGTGATTTTTTTTGGGGGGAATCCTTAAATTTTGGGTTGTTTGAGATGTTTTTCTGCTTTTAAGATTTAAGTCCTGGCCGGGCGCGGTGGCTCACGCCTGTAATCCCAGCACTTTGGGAGGCCGAGACGGGCGGATCACGAGGTCAGGAGATCGAGACCATCCTGGCTAACACAGTGAAACCCCGTCTCTACTAAAAAATACAAAAAACTAGCCGGGCGAGGTGGCGGGCGCCTGTAGTCCCAGCTACTCGGGAGGCTGAGGCAGGAGAATGGCGTGAACCCGGGAGGCGGAGCTTGCAGTGAGCCGAGATTGCGCCACTGCACTCCAGCCTGGGTGGCAGAGTGAGACTCCGTCTCAAAAAAAAAAAAAAAAAAAAAAAAGATTTAAGTCCTTCAGGGCGTGCTATTATAATAGCTGTTTCGTAAACATTGAAATTTTGATCCAATGTATAGCCTTCTTTTCTATTTAACTTTTGTATCACTGCTGGAAATTTTTTTGCAGCGCTCTCATTTGCACTCTTGGCTTTGCCTGGTAGCTAAGGTTTTGGAAATTGTAGTGATGCTAGAAACCATCAAACTGTCTACTACTAGCACTGAAATGAATCAGTGCTGTAGGATTTGGCAATTTACAGTAAAGTCTGTGTGTGTGTATGTACATGCACCTGTGTGCATGTGTGTGTGTGCATGTGTGTGTGTATTGTGCTTTCCCTATGTGAGAAAGGTGGTTTTAAAAAATTGTTTTGTGTATTCCTATGTGTCTTTGTTCAACTAGGTGGAGATTTCTGGTAGAATCATGCATAAGCAAATATAAAATTTGAGTTATGCTCACTTGATTCCCTAATATATCAATTGTCTTAGAATAAATTCACGTTTTTGCATCAAGCATTATAGCAGAATTGATTATGCATGAATCTATCTTACATTGGAATTTTTTTTTTTTTTTTGAGATGGAGTCTTGCTCTGTCACCAAACTGGAGTGCAATGGCCTGATCTCAGCTCACTGCAACCTCCGCCTCCCGGGTTCAAGTGATTCTCCTGCCTCTGCCTCCCAAGTAGCTAGGACTACAGATACATACTACCATGCCCAGCTAGTTTTTGTATTTTTAGTATAGACGGGTTTCACCATGTTGGCCAGGATGGTTTCCATCTCTTGACCTCATGTTCCCCCTACCCAGCTTGCCAAAGTGCTGGGATTATAGGCATGAGCCACCGTGCCTGGCCTACATTGAAATTTTAATCAACGACTGTTTCTATCCGGAGCCAGTCTCATTTTTTTTTTTTTTTTCTGAGATGGAGTTTCACTCCTGTTGCCCAGGCTAGAGTGCAGTGGTGTGATCTCAGCTCACTGTAATCTCTGCCTTCCAGTTTCAAGCGATTCTCCTGCTTCAGCCTCCTGAGTAGCTGGGATTACAGGTACCTGGCACCACGTCCGGGTAATTTTTTTTTTTTTTTTCTTTTTTGAGATGGAGTCTTGCTTTTGTTGCCCAGGCTGGAGTACAGTGGCGCGATCTTGGCTCACCGCAACCTCTGCCTCCTGGGTTCATGTGATTCTCCGGCCTCAGCCTCCCAAGTAACTGGATTACAGGCATGCGCCACCATGCCTGGCTAATTTTGTATGTTTAGTAGAGGTGGAGCTTCTCCATGTTGGTCAGGCTGGTCTCAAACTCTCGACCTCAGGTGATCTGCCCACCTCAGCCCCTCAGCCTCCCAAAGTACTGGGATTATAGGTGTGAGCCGCCACACCCAGGCAATTTTTGTATTTTTTTTTTTTAGTAGAGACAGGGTTTCACCATGTTGGCCAGGATGGTCTTGAACTCCTAACATCGTGATCCACCCGCCTCAGCCTTCCAAAGTGCTGGGATTACAGGCGTGAGCCACTGCGCCCAGCCACCAGTCTCAATTTTATTTCCTGAGTCGTATCATGACTAATCTTTTCTTTCACATAGGAATGATATTGGTTTAAGATAGAAGGGACTTGCCTCTCTTCCTTGGTGCCAGAGGATAGGAGGGTCCCTCATTTATCATGGGTATAATGTCCAGCAGAACAAAGTAGCATAAGTGAAGAGGCAGTGCCGGGACCAGATGGGACTGTTGCTGCTAAAACTCTCTATGGCTTTCTCTCAGTCCTAAAAGGCATGTGGCTAAACAAAGACATTTACCTTGCTGTTTTTCTCTCCATTCAGGGACTCTTTAGAATAGTGGGGGTAACGTATCTCCTTTACTCTCAAGTGTTTTGGGGGAAAAACTAGATTTTCAGATTGTGTTCTAAAATCGTGACATTTTAAGTTTAGGGTCATATTTCAGATGAGAATATTCTGAAATAAATTTCACTTTTTCTAAGGCACCGTTTTCCTAAGAGTGCTCAAATAAGAATGTTTAGTTTTATTTAACCCAGTGCTTCCCAGCTCTCTTTACTATAGGACTTCTCAGAGTCTTTAATACACTCCTGTGCATTGCAGATCTCCAAGAGGAGGGATATTCCCAAGCTTATTTAATTGTGTTCCAAACTGGGACTGTGGGACACATGTCCTCCAGGGCTGTTCACAGGTCAGCCAGCTTCTCAGAGTGGCCATTTTATAGCCATTTGGGAACCTTGTAGCTTTTGTAGTTGTTGCATATTTCCAAATAAGTTTGATAATAGCTTATTAACATTGATTATTTTCATTGTATCCCAATTTAATTTGATTACATTCCCATCTACTTTTCAGGAACTAGCTTCCAAAAAATCTCTGCCTATGAATTATTACACAGTATTCTACCATGTTCAAGAGCAACTACCTAGAGACTGTTTTGTGGTAAGCGAAGGAGCAAATACTATGGACATCGGACGGACTGTGCTTCAGAACTACCTTCCTCGCCACAGGTAAGACTTCTGAAGAAGAAAGAAGTCGTAATTCATTATGATGTGTTTAATATGAAACTACAATAGTGCAGATTAAGAAGACATTTGAGAATTAATACATGTTCAGTATGTAAGGGCATATTTCATAAAAGAATTGTTAGGTGAAGTTTTGTAGAGTTTTTATGCTTGATGTGTTCTTGGTATCCTGTGATAATTATTTACTTAGTGTTATAGGAATATGTTTATAGTCTCCCAAGCAAACATGAGTGTTTTTCTCTCCGTGACAAATTAGTTCCTAACAGTCTAAGGATTTTGTATTGAAGAAAGAGAATGTTTTTATGTTTCTTTATTTTTCCATCAACCATGTAAATAGGACTAGAAGGTTTGTGCCAACCCCATCCTCTATGACATGCCCCAGAGGGTTTCATTTTAGCTTTGTTCTCCAACAGGCTTGATGCTGGTACTTTCGGAACAATGGGAGTTGGTTTAGGATTTGCTATTGCAGCTGCCATGGTGGCTAAAGATAGAAGCCCTGGGCAACGGGTCATCTGTGTGGAAGGAGACAGTGCATTTGGGTTTTCTGGCATGGAGGTGGAAACCATCTGCAGGTAAAACATCATCCTGAATCAGAGCATTTGATTCTCTAGAATGTGAAAAATGACACAGTCATCTGACAAATACCAGGTGTTCACCAGCTGCCCTGTAAATAGCACTGTGCTCTGTCCTGAGGATGCTAGTGGCAGTAAGCCACGGTCTTTCTCTTCCAGAACAGTATCTTTCTGGCCTCCTCGCTGTGTGGTAAAAACCTATAAAACTGTGGGGAGTGGTTTTGAGGTCACTGAGAAAAAAATGTTGGGGACTGAAAGAAGCTTGTTTCCGATGGGAAATAGCGAGTGTGGTGGTTAAGGGCATGGCTTCTGTCAGGTGCCTTGGCTCACACCTGTAATCCCAGCCCTTTGGGAAGCCAAGGCAGGCAGATCACTTTAGGTCAGGAGTTCAAGACCAGCCTGGCCAGCATGGTGAAACCCCATCTCTACTAAATATACAAAAAAAAAAAAAAAAAATTAGCCAGATGTGGTGAAGCATGCCTGTAATCCCAGCTATTCAGGAAGCTGAGGCAGAAGAATTGCTCAAACTGGGAGGTGGAGGTTGCAGTGAGCTGAAGTCGCACCACTGCACTCCAGCCTGGGCAACAGAGTAAGACCCCGTCTCAATGTGGGACAAATGGCCTGGATTTAAAAACTGGTTCTATCAAGTCAGAGCCATGTGACTTTAAGTCACCTAACCAAGGTTGGGCATGGTAGCTTACACCTGTAATCCCAACACTTTGGGTGGCTGAGGTGGGCAGATCACCTGAGGTCAAGAGTTAGAGACCAGTCTGGCCAACATGGTGAAACCCTGTCTGTACTAAAAATATAAAAAAGAGCCAGGTGTGGTGGTACATGCCTATAGTCCCAGCTATTTGGGAGGCCGAGGCAGGAGAATCGCTTGAACCTGGGAGGCGTAGGTTGCAGTGAGCCAAGATCGCACCACTGTACTCCAGCCTGGGCGACAGAGCAAGACTGTCTCAAACAAACAAACAAAAAAGTCACTTAACCAAGCCTTAGTCTCATCTCTTCTAAAGTAGGAATAGTATCCTTTAGGCAGAAATTCCTTGGAAAAAAAAAAAAGTAGGATTAGTCATAGTTCCTACCTTAGAAAGATGATTATGAGGAACAAATGAGATAATCCAAGCAATTTTTTTTTCAAGATGGGGGTCTCACTTTGTCACGCAGGCTGGAGTGGAATGGCGCGATTGCGGCTCACTGCAGCCTCAACCACTGAAGTTCAAGTGATCGTGCTTCCTTAGCCTTCTGAGTAGCTGGGATCACAGGCATGCGCCACCACGCTCAGCTAATTTTTTGTATTTTTTTCTGTAGAGACAGGGTTTTGCCATGTTGGCCACACTGGTCTCGCATTTGTAAGCTCAAGCAATCCACCCACCTTGGCCTCCCTAAGTGCTAGAATTACAGGTGTGAGCCACCGTGCTTGGCCCCAGCTAAACTCTGAGGTGATACTCAGTGAACATGAGCCATTTGGATCATGTGTGTAGTTATGAGAATTCATGGAGAAACTCATGAATTGTAGATCCTAACTATAGAAGGATGGGGGTTTTATTTTTCCAGCTATATTTAAACTGTAGTAAAACGATTCTATTCTTAGCCAGGGCTCTTATTAGGGCTTTTGTGACTCATGTTTTTGGGCTGGCAAAGCTTTGGTAGATGAAACGTTCAAGATTTGGGAAGGTATAGTTGTCCCTCCATATCCATGGGAGATTGGTTCCAGGACCTTCCTCAAATACCAAAATCCAAGGATGCTCAAGTGAGTCCCTGATATAAAATGGTACAGTATTTGCAAATAACCTATGCATATCACCCCGTATATTTTTAATGATCTCTAGATTACCTTAAAATGCTGAATACAATATAAATGCTATATAAAAAATTGTTGTGCTGTATTGCTTAGGGAATAATGACAGGAACAAAGTCTGTGTGTGTTGAGTACAGACCCAAATTTTTTTTCCAAATATTTTTGACCTGCAGTTGGTTAAATCCACGGATGCAGAACTCAGATAATGAGGTCTGACTATATGTGTCTGTTAGAATGTCTTTATTGACAACAAAGTGATATACATAAAAAAGACTTATGGGGAAGTCAGCCTTTTAGTGAATAATGATTCCTTTTGAGCATGGAGAGCAAATAATTACCACAGTCCTGTTATTTAACAGTATGCAGTTTAGTTTTGTTTTTACCACTTGCCCTTGGAAATTATGTTAGAAAATAAAACCTACATTCTTTTCAGTCAATAACATTTAATCAACCTTTTCTTTTTTGTCTTTGCTGTACTGTTTAGCATATTGTTAAATACGCCTTTTCTGTAACGATTACACCATGTAATGTGTTTCTGATTATGGGTGTGGTAGTTTGAGTGCAGATTGTGTGTGCTAGTCACTTGTGTATCTCCTACAGCATCTAGCAAGGGCTGGGTGTCTGTGGCGAGCTCAGTAAATAGAAAGGTACTTTTCAAACATTGTTCCTAGGAACCAACTAGAAGTGGTCCTTTAGAGAGTATTAAATAGGGAAGGTGTTCTTCGTATACCATCTAGACTTATGAAAACCTAGATTCAGAAAAGCTCAGTGATTTGTCTGAGGTTCATAGCTAATAGCTAAAGGACTATCAACTATTTTTTTTTTTTTTTTTTTTTTTTCTGAGATGGAGTCGCACTCTGTCACCTAGGCTGGAGTGCAGTAGTGTGATCTTGGTTCACTGCAACCTCCACCTCCTGGGTTCAAGCGATTCTTCTGCCTCAGCCTCCCGAGTAGCTGGGACTACAGGCCCGTGCTACCATGCCCAGCTAATCTTTGTATTTTTAGTAGAGACGGCGTTTCACCATATTGGCCAGGCTCATCTTGAACTCCTGACCTTGTGATCTGCCTGCCTCAGCCTCCCAAAGTCCTGGGATTACAGGCGTGAGCCACCACACCCGGCCAGGACTAACAACTCTTAATCTTGCAATCTTTCTGCCTTTCCATGATGTTTCTGTTAATGATTTGATATTCTTTCTTAGGATAATAAATGCTTGACTTTTAGTCTTCCTCTAATATCACAAAAAGCTTATAGAAAACTATTCATTTTTAAGTTAAAATTTCAGCCCAAAGAAAATAAATTACTTTAGAATGAAGAATGATTTCCTTCATATTTTACTCTCACTTTAGGTACAACTTGCCAATCATACTCTTGGTAGTGAATAACAATGGAATTTACCAAGGTTTTGATACTGATACTTGGAAAGAAATGTTAAAATTCCAAGATGCTGCTTCAGTGTAAGTAACCAAGACCCATGTCTATTTACTTCCTCTCACCCGTTTTCAATCTCTTTTAAAAAAGTCTTCTATATTGGCAATAATGTGCCTGCATGGTATGAGTATTGTCTGTTTTGATTGTCAGCCCTTCTAAAGAGCAGGAATCCTGTCTTAGTTCCTCTTTGCACAAATATCCATGATTAGGTGCTTCAATAGGTTATAATCAGGGAACAGCTGAAGACTCAGATAAATGAGTGTGATGTCTGAGCCTTGTTAATGAAAAGGCTTATTGCAAAATGCTGCCAGGACTGGGAGCAATAGTAGGACTACTATTCCTGTTACACCATGTAGAAATGTGGATGTGTACATATTATTTATGTTCCAGAGGCCTACCTTCCTTTTACCACTTAGCTAAATCTTGATCATCTGATGGCAGAGCCAGATTAAGATGGTATTGTAGCTGGCGGTGGAATGTGAGATAGATGTGAATTTGTGAGCCAGCCTTGGGGTGGAACAGGGTATGGGTGTGTCTATTTATGCCTCGCTAACTTTATTTGCTGTTTTCTTGTTATGTGTTGTTTTGCAGTAATCTTTTTTTTTTTTCATGTTTTTCTTCTGGATTCATAATAGTTGGTAGTGTAGCCTGTGCTATCTAGCATAGTAGCCACTAGGCATTTTGCAACTGTTGCCATTTAGATTTAAATTACTTCAAATTAAATGAAGTTAAAAATTTAGTTCCTCAGTTTAGTCACGTTTCAAATGCTCACAGCAACAGGTAGATAGTGGCTACTATTTTGGATCGCACAGTTTTAAAACATTTCTATCATCACAGAACGTTCTGTTGGACATTGCTTTATAGACAATTATAAACATAGGAAAAACTCAGTGTACTGGCATCTCAGCTTAAGTGTTGAAGTTAAAATTACGCCTTTCAGTTCAGCCTAAATTTTTTTAATGAAGTATTTCAGAGAATGACTTTTTTTTTTTTTTTTCCTACAAGGTTTAAGATTTAAATTTCATTGACTCATGACCTTGTTTTTCAGGGTCCCTCCAATGTGCTTGCTGCCAAATTCACATTATGAGCAAGTCATGACTGCATTTGGAGGAAAAGGGTATTTTGTACAAACACCAGAAGAACTCCAAAAGTCCCTGAGGCAGAGCCTAGCAGACACAACTAAACCCTCTCTTATCAACATCATGATTGAGCCACAAGCCACACGGAAGACCCAGGTAAATACAATTGCTAAGCAGAAAGCAAGAAATGCATCTGCTTCCCCTATCCCGCTCCAAAAAGCATCTACCAAACAGAACACCCTCTGTCATGCACAGAGGTCTTTCTAAACCATTTCTGAGTTTGGCAGTTTATTTGTTCAGTGAATACTGAGATATGTGTTAGGTGCTATGAATAGCATGGCGAGCCAAACCAGGCTCAGTCCTCACCTTCATGGAGCTTTTATGGTCTGGTAGGGCAGAGGGATCTGGTAACCTCACAACTGAACATACTGCGACAGAGTGAAGCAATTGCTTGGAAGGAAAGGAACCCAGTTCTAAGCAAACATACCACAAAGGAATTGATTTATGTTGGGGTTACAGGGAAGGCTTCTCAGAGGAGGTGATTCTTAAACGGAGATCAGAAGGATAAGCAGAGACTAACTCGGCAAAGGGGAGAGGGAAGACATGTGCAAAAGGCTCTGTAGCAAGAGGAAAGAGAAAGCATGGCAAGTCTGAGGAAGAGGGAGATGCAACTGTAATACGAAGATTTGTGCAGGTACATTCAAAATTAGTTACTTTGACCTCTAAAGTGAAACTACAGTATTGATTATAGCAGTAAAGTAAATGACAAAGTTCATAGCATGAACCTCTCCTATCCCAGATTAAGTTGCGTTTCATGCTTAATTTTCTACTGGCATCCTGGTTCTGCCACTTGCCTCCTCTTGTAACCTGTCATCCATGCGAACACTTTGCGTATCAGCCACTGTTTTCAGAGCAGGTATTTTTTTCAAGTACTTTCTGTCTTGGTTCTTAAACATATGGGATCTCTTTCTTTTGTGAACAAAGCATGGATGAATGGGCAAACAGATACCTGGATAATCAATGAAATATAAATTAACTAATTTAGACACTAAAATATATAGAATTCTACTGAAATTCTATTTGTGTGAAAAATAGATTTCAGCAACTTTGGCATTTACTTCCTAGCAGAGAGAGGAGACACTCAAGAAGCCTAGTAATGAGGAAGATGAATGCAGAAAAAGTAGGCCAGTAAGCTGAAGGGCAGGGGGCATTAGCAGGGATTTCTGTGGAGCAAGCAGGCAGACTGTTTTAAGGGAGGGTCAACAACTTTCAGAATCTGTCTGTACTCCTGCGGGTTTGTGGATTGTCTTCTCTTTTTAAGTTCTATTTAAAATGATTTATGCCAGTCTGACACTCAATAGACAGGCTTTTTCATCTCATGCCACTTTATGGATTTATAACTGGGTTTATACTTTCCAGTGACTGGGATATTAGTTTGGTAACCAGAAACACCCTCCTCTGGGCATCAGGCCGTCAGAGCACTGGGGAAACTAAAGCCACTGTAAGAAGCCTAATGAATACATATAATCTTGATGTCTGGGCCCAGTGGCTCATGCCTGTAATCCCAGCCCTTTGGGATGCCGAGGTGGGCGGATCACTTGAGGCCGGGAGTTTGAGACCTGCCTGGCCAATATGATGTCTACTAAAAATACAAAATACAAAAAATAAAACAAAAATTAACTGGGCATGGTGGTGCATGTCTGTAATCCTGGCTACTCAGGAGGCAGAGGCACGAGAATCGCTTGAACCCGGGAGGTGGAGGTTGCAGTGAGCTAAGATTGTGGCATTGCACTCCAACCTGGGTGACAGTTAGACTGTGTCTCAAAATCATCATCATCATCATCTTGAGACCTATGTTAATCACAGAAAAGCCCTAACAAATTCTCTGCCAGTGAGTTCGCGCTTCTATTGATTTGCTTCCAATGATCTGTTCTACAGTTTCTCTGTGAATTTTGTCTGGATATTGCCGGAGAAATATAAGTTCTTGTCTTCCTCTTTTACAATTCTATGAGGATTATCTTTATATTTCTTACATTTATCACTTTGAAATTATTTATTGTCATTCCAGTGGAATTTACATACATTATACTTTCCAAACTGTTGATTTTTGTCTGTCTGTCCATCTGCCATTTGTCATTGATTCTCAGTGTAGGCTGGCCACTTTCTGCCTCTATATGGGAATGCCTGTATCTGTGCCTGTGTCCAGGCTGTATGTGTAGGATGGTGTTAGTTCTGGAAGAGGCTTCCATGCACAGTTCTTCCTATTCTTGTTCTCAGACCCAGGAGCTCAGCCCTCTGTGGGCCTCCTTTATCTCCCTTCTCCTTCTGAGTGTACTTGTGGTTCTTTTAGACTATAGTTTTTGTGCTCTGATTACTGTTAATGGAAGAGGACCCAGAATGCCATTTTAGATTGTTTTATAGGACACAGCAGGAAGATTCACTGGTAGGTTTTAAGTCCTTTTTGGGAAAAGCACCAGAACAAAGACAAACCTCATTTTGCCACCATTGTGTAGGACTTTTAGGTTTTAGAACAAGTGAAACAATGAGGATATAATTTGAGACAATCATTTCTTTTTACTGAATGTTTGTTGTCTTCTTTTTCTAGGATTTTCATTGGCTGACCCGCTCTAATATGTAAATAAAGACGCCAGTTGGTGGTCTTGAGTTTTCTCTTTCTTGCAAGATGAAATTTTATTTTCCACAGCAAAATTACTCTACTGTTAAAATTGTGCAAAATAAAATAAACATTTTAAAATGACATTTTACAGTAAAGGAATTGATTAAAAACAGAAAAAGTTAGAAAAAGTATCAGAAAAAGTTATTCTGCCACAAAACTACTTACAGATGAATGGAGAGCTTTTATTAAATAATAGCGTTGTAACTGCCTAAATGTTGATTTACATATTAATATTCTTTTACTGCCATAGTGTGCATGTTTGTTCCCCAAAACCTCATGTAGAAATTTGATCTCCGGTGGTGGAGGTAGGGCCTAATGGGAGGTGTCTGGGTCATGGGGATGGATCCCGCATGAAAGGTTTGGTGAGTTCTCAGGGTAATGAGCTCTCCCTCTATTAGTAAAAGGAACCTAGCAGCCAGGCACAGTGACTCACGCCTATAATACCAGAATTTTGGCAAGTTGAGGCGGACAGATCACCTGAGGTCGTGAGTTCGAGACCAGCCTGACCAACATGGAGAAACCCCATCTCTACTAAAAATACAAAATTAGCTGGACCTGGTGGTGCATGCCTGTAGTCCCAGCTACTCAGGAGGCTGAGGCAGGAGAATCGCTTGAACTCAAGGGGTGGAGGTTGTGGTGAGCTGAGATTGTACCACTGCACTCCAGCCTGGGCAACAAGAGTGAAACTCCGTCTCAAAAAAAAAAAAAAAAAAGGAAAGGAACCCAGCACCTTCCCTGCAGGGAACCTAGCACCTTCCCCACCTCTCTCCTGCTTCCTCTCTCACCATGTGGACTCTGCACACACTGGCTCCCCTTTACTTCTGCCATGAATGGAGGCAACCTGAGCCCTCACCAGATGCCCAGTCTTGAACCTTCCAGCTATCAGAACTGTGAGCTAAATAGACCGCTTCATAAAACAAGTTACTTAGCTTTAGTAAATATTCCTTTATAGCAACACTAAACAGACTAAGGCAGTTACCTATCTTTTAAAAATTGAAGAAAAAAGCTGTAAGAATTATCTAATGTAGAGACATGTTCAATTAGTTGAGATACATAGGCTCTTTCTGCTTCCTATTTTATTTTTTGACTACTCAGTATCTAAGTGTCCCCAGTGTTTAGTGGGGCTTGTCCTATATTTTATGAATTTGGTTGTTTTTTTTTTTTCTGGAAAGAATTTATTGAGCCAAAGGCAAGGTCACACCACACCCAAACTAATAATTTCAGGATATATTTGGACTAGCGACCTAAGTTCAAGCATACCACGTTTAGACCAACGAAGTTAACCTTAATATAATATATAAAGAACTCAGACCGGAGGCAGTGGCTCACACCTGTAATCCTAGCACTTTGGGAGGCCAAGGCAGATGGATCACTTGAGATCAGCAGTTCAAGACTAGCCTGGCCAACATGGTGAAACCCCATCCCTACTAAAAATAAAAAAGTTAGCCGGGCATGGTGGCACACTCCTGTAATCCCAGCTACTCAGGGAGCTGAGGCTCGAGAATCACTTGAACCCTGGAGGCAGAGGCTGCAATGAACCAAGATCCCGCCACTGCTCTCAAGCCTGGGCAACAGACTTAGTGTGACTCCCTCTCAAAAAGTCAATAAATAAATAAAATAAAAAGAACTCTTATATATAAGAAAAATATTAAGGTGCCAGTAGAAAAATGGGCAGAGGGCATGAATGTACAATTCACAGAAAACATATAAATGCTCAATGAAAGTATGAATATAAATATGAATATGTAAGTTATATTGAAAATCCCTTTTTTTCCCCCTGGCCTATCCACCTGGCAAAGAACTTTCTAAATTAATCTGAATTGTGGTGAAGTGGAAGTGAAAATGAGACCCCCACGCTGCTGATGGAAGTTGAAGTTGGTACATTTCCATAGAGTAATTCTAGCATTGCTTGTATTTGGAATCTTAAAAATATTCATACCCTGTAAGTTTTGACCCCATGAGGTTTTTTTTTTGTTTTTTTTTTCTCAAGACAGGGTATTGCTCTGTTGCTCAGGCTAGAGTGAAATGACATGATCACGGCTCACTGCATCTTTAACCGCCTTGGGCTCAAGTGATCCTCCCACCTCAGTCTCCCAAGTAGCTGGCACTACAAGTGCATGCCACCATGCCCGACTAATTTTTTTATTCTGTTTTTGTAGAGACAGGGTCTCAATATGTTGCCTAGGTTGGTCTCAAACTCGTGGGCTTACGCTATCCTCTTGCCCCTCCCTCCCAGAGTGCTGGGAGTACAGTCATGAGCCACCGTGCCAGGCCCCGGTGATCTTATTTAGTGAATATATCCTAAAGAAATAATAAAATATTTGGTCAAATATTTATATGAAAGGCCATTTTGCATAGTTTTATTTAGGAACAACCCCAACGTTTAATAGGAGGACATTGGTTACATAAATGATGATCTATCATCATAAAATAAAAATTGTGTTATTTATTAATTGAGAAATAATCACAATACAACATG